CAACATAACTTAACAGACAATACCTGTAAAATTAATTGAGAGCAAATGTCAATGTTAACATTGGATTTTACTGTGAACATTATACATACACATATATAAAGGTGCATACATATGCATATGTACATTTGGACATATGACAGCTTACATTGACATTAACACGGATTATTCCAACTCCTTTAATACATACATACATACATATGTACATGTACATTCATGCATACAACAGCGTTGTCAAGGCCATCTAGTCAGCAGTTGCCATTCTCATTCTCTTTAACTCCAACTCGCTCTAACCTAACACAACTGTTTGTCTCGCTCGCACACACACTATTTCATACTACGTCACATTTCGCTCGCTTGATCTGTGGACTTAATGCCTGGCTTATGCGTCGACTGTATATGCATACTATGCATATGTGTATGCGTAAATTTATATGTATGTATGTAGAAGAGCATTGTTAGCAGCCTTTTGAGTGGGTTGCATAGTTTATGCTGAGCTAATTGAACGGCAAGTTTGCAGCCAGGCAAATGGGTCAATTGCCTCAGGTAAATTAAAGTGCAACTCTGCTCAACTCAGGCTGCATACGAATCCCCAGTGAGCAAAACGAAATTGAGTAAAAGACTAACGCATACCCTTGCTTAACTACATTCACATGTTTATTACAAATCTAGGATGTTCGTCAAGTAGTACATACCAGCAGAGAGTGTTTGCTTCAAATTCAATGCACTGTTATTAATAATGTTCACTTATCACTTGGCACTTGCATGAGCTCTGGGCGAGTATCGATTCTTAACATTTCTAGCTCAGCTTAACAGACAACTTTAACAGAATTGCTAACAGACAGAAGATTGGGAGAGCGGATTCAGCAATTGAGTGAGAGTAAGGGAGAGTGTAATCTGTGAAAACAGCAATTCCACTCAAACTCTGCGTATGTGTAAGTGTGAAATCTAATAATTGACAACTGGTGGTTGTAAAATCTCTATGTAAAATGCATTGCTCACACTATTAAGCTATACATACACACATATGTATGCATGCATGGCTGCACACAATATTATGTGTATATATAATTTACCTAAAATATTTGATTTTATTTTAACACTCCAACTGAAGACGCGACGAAGCTCATACTGAGTTGCTCTTAGCGATGGACAACATAACGATTGTAAAATCTTTTCTTGACTATTGAGTGCATTTGGCGCTGCACTGAAATATCGATATATGTACATTGAGCTACATAGTTAGCATGTAAGTGGAGGGAACTGGAGTGCGATGTTTTTGGAGTGACTTAAATGCCTATTAAAAGTTTAGTTCATGCAGTTTAAACTTTAAACTGTTTCACAGAAGAGTGCGTATGTGCGTGTGTGTATTAATGCTAATGATACGAACTTTTGCAACTGTCAAGTTGGAGCTCTAGGTTTTTCTAAGTGGGAAGGGAGTATTAGCATGTTAGAGTTATCATATGGATTGTAATATACCCAAAGAAAGGGTCTGTACTCTGCATCTGTATGAAGAGTATTAACATTGCTTTTAAGCTACTATTACGAGGTATTGTCCAGTCGATCAGGCCCTAAAAGAACTTTTCCTTACTTCAAGTTAAGTTCGTTCACAGCTCAGTTCAGCTAAGGTTTAGCAAAAGGCAGCTGCCTTGCCTTCGCTTGGCTGTGTAGTTAACCTAGTTAGGGTGTTGAGCTATCGAGATTTTTCGAATAGCTTTAAATTATTAAACGATTGAATTTACTTAGTGATTAGTTTATTAGCGATTATTAGAGTTTACAGAGTTTATGTGATAGACGCGAGCAAGCGACTAGTCTGTCGTGCTGTCCGCTACTATGTTTGTAATAGTCAATCTAACACTGCATCTGCTCTAAACAAGAGTTAATTGCATACTAACTACAATGTACGCGAGCCGGCGGATTAAGCTGAGCCGGTGCGTGGGTGAAAGAGACAACGCAAAAGGGAGAGCGTGATCTCCGTTACAAATTCTCTTACATGATAACATATTCTATGAACTGCCGCTCTTAATTACAATGAAGCGATGATTGCTGAGCCCAACATCCTCCCCCCGTTGAAGACTTAGTCTTCAACAGAATCCTAAGGGGCAGCAAGCACAGCTTATTTGTAGCTCTTCTTATCTCGCCAACTTCAGTTTTTAGTAGGGCTACCCGTGCAACGCCATCACTTCCAGGGATAAGTTCGATTATTCTGGCTAGTGGCCACTTAAGTGAAGGTAGATTCTCATCCTTCACAAGAACTATGTTGCCAACAGCCAAGCCAGGTTTAGAGGTTCTCCATTTCGCTCGCTGTTGTAACAAGTTGAGATATTCGTCCCGCCAACGAGTCCAGAACACCTGCTGGAGATAGCTTACGCGCTGCCAAGCATCCAAACGATTAAAATTGAGCCCGGTTAGGTTTGGCTCACTGAAAGACGAAGGAGGGCCACCGTTGAGGAAATGCGCAGGAGTCAACACGTCTATGTCTGATGGGTGCTCTGAAATCGAAACTAAAGGGCGTGAATTAACGACAGCAGCGATGTTGCAAACCAGTGTGCGAAGCTCATCGTAAGTTAGGACGGAGGACCCAACACATCGGTAAAAATGATGCTTCGCTGTCTTCACTGCAGCCTCCCACAAGCCACCAAAGTGAGGTGATCGTGGAGGGATGAAATGCCATTCGATTGAGTCTGCCAAACAGAAATCCTTCACAGCCTTCTGGTGGGTGTCTGACAGAAATAGACGCTTCAACTCCTGAAGCTGATTGCGGGCACCAAGAAAGTTTGTGGCGTTATCCGACCAGATTTGACTTGGCTTTCCTCTGGTGCATATGAAACGTTGAAGTGCATGCAAAAATGCCGCGGTAGTTAAATCCTTGACTAACTCCAACCAAATAGCCTTCGTAGCAAAACAAATAAACACACAAACGTAGCATTTCACAGGCGCCTTGTTTCGTGACTCAGGCTTGTAAAAGAAGGGTCCGCAAAAGTCGACTCCAGTCACTCCAAAGACCCGATAGCCGTCGACTCGATCCTTGGGTAGATCTGCCATTATGTGTTCAACGAGTCGGGGCCTTGCACGAAAGCAAATTACGCATCTCTGAATTACACTGGCTACAGTTTTTCTACCTCCAATTGGCCAATATTGGGAACGAACCAACGCTAGCACTGCTCGGGGACCAGCGTGCAAGTTTCGCTGATGGAAATGCATTATGATGGCTCTAGTTACTGGATGAACTTTGGGCAAAATAATTGGATGGCGACTATCGAAATTTAAAGTTGAGTTTTTGAGACGACCATCGACACGTAGCAGCCCAATCTCATCAAGGAACGGTGACAGCGAGGCTAGACTGCTGGATGACGGAACCATTCCTTTATTTCGAAGAGCATTTATGTCGTCTGAGAGATGTGTTCGTTGAATCATTCTTAACAGTATATGAGTGCCGTTCCGGATGTCTGCTAGGGTTATTCCTGGACCATGACTTTTTTAATAAACTTTGATACGTATGCAAACGTACGCTGCAAGCGGCCGAAAGAATTCACAAACTTGCAGTCCATAGAGACATCATGGACTGCGTCCTTTACAAGAAGCACAGTTCTTCGACGCTCAATTGAAGTTCTTTCTGGAAGTGCTGAGACTGGCCACTGAGATCTGGGCTTACAGAGGAAACCTGGACCGTTGAACCAATGTAATGATGCATTTAAATCCGAGGGCAATGCACCCCGAGATAATATATCCGCGGGATTCAGTGTTGTAGGTATATAGTGCCATTCCATTGCTGATGTGAGATCTTGTATCGTGGCGATGCGATTTGAAACAAAAACGTTAAATCGTCCGGGCTCGTCATTGATCCAAGAAAGCGCAACAGTAGAGTCAGACCAACAATGAAACTCGCCTGCGAAAATGCCTAAGCGAGCCACTTCATTCATTAGACGCGCAAGCAACTCTGCCCCGCATAGTTCCAGCTTGGGAACCGTGAGCGTTTTTAGAGGCGCAACTCGAGACTTAGAGCAAAGCAACCTGCTGATGGTATGCTGACCTCTGGATACAATATAAATGCAAGCTCCGTATGCCTCGATGCTGGCATCGCAGAATCCATGGACCTCAACCTTCGATCCTGGTATTAATGATAGCCTGGGAAATGCACTACTAAGACCATTGCCAAAGTTGCTGCAAATGTCTAGCCATGCAGTGTGACATGCAGACGGGAGACTCTCATCCCAATCAAGTTTATGCCTCCAGAGTTGTTGCAAGAAGATTTTAGCTTTCGTTATTACTGGGCCGACCAGGCCGAGGGGATCATAAAACCTAGCAATAGACGAGAGAACAGAGCGCCTGGAGGGCTTAGAGGCTGAATTCAGAGCTAGATATGAGAAAAGAAGTTGATCAGATGCCGGATCCCATGCAAGGCCAAGTGTCTTTGTAATGTCGCTGCCATCGTTGAACCTAATGAGCGATTCCTTGTCGCAGTCTGTTACGCCGTCCAGTACCATGGGATGGCTTGAACACCACTTCCTCAATTTAAACTTCCCACATGCCAAGATTCCAGCTGTCTCTTGCATAACAAGTCTTGCTTCTTCGACTGAATTTCCTCCACTAATCAAATCATCAACATAGAAATCGCGAAGCAGTACGTCGGACCCGACTGGGAATGCGTTCCTTTCATCTACGGCAAGCTGATGCATGGCGCGCACAGACAAAAATGACGCTGGTTTTGTTCCATATGTTACCGTATCAAGCCTGAAAACTTCCAACTCATCATCTGGCGAATTCCTCCATAAAATGCATTGTAGATAGCTGTCCGGCTCAGGTATTTTCACGCAACGATACATTTTGCAAATATCGCCGGTGAGTGCAACTGGATAAGATCGGAAGCGCAATAATATGTCGACTAATTTTGGCTGAATGACGGGACCCTGACATTAGAATGTCATTCAACGAATGCCCAGTTGTTGTAGATGCAGATCCATCAAAGACGACGCGAAGCTTGGTAGTTGTGCTATCATCCTTCAGAACGCAGTGATGAGGAAGAAAATATCTGCATAGATGGAATGAATTTAGAGGAACGCGTGACATGTGACCAAGTTCAAGATACTCTTTCAGAAATGCTGAGTATTGAGACTTTATATGCGGCAAACGACTCAATTTCTTCTCCAAATTGAGAAACCGATGTCGCGCTTGCTCATAAGAATCTCCAAGAAGCTCACAACTAAGCTTAACAGGCAGGCGTACTGTATATTGGCCACTAGCCAATCGATTGTAATGCCTCGCAAAATGCGCTTCGCAGTCTGAGTCTTCCTTGCTGAACTTTACAATGGAATCGCTGCAGCGCTCAACTTCCCAAAAGCGACGAACGAGACTGTCCAACTTGATATCAGCACAGGAGTCTGTAATCGGATCCAAAGGCGTCTTTGAAGCTATTAGCACGGAGTTGTGGTTGCGAGCCTCGCCACCTGATACAACCCAACCAAGACGAGTCTTCTGTAACAATGGAAGTCCAGGCATCAACTTGATTTGTCCCACACAGAGCAAATCATAAAACAGGCTAGCTCCGATAAGCAGATCTACTCGTTGCGGCCTATGGAAAGCTGGATCTGCCAGCACTATATTTTGCGGTATGCTCCAATTGCTCGTATTCACATTAGAACTGGGCTGCCTGCCAGTTATATTTGTAGCTACCATAGCCGTTATGCTAGTTGTATATTCAGATGCATGAGCTTGAAGAGTGAGGCAAATGCTGCTGCCATCCATGGCAACATTGGAGTCGCCTACGCCGCATACAGATGCCACCGATTTTGTTCTCTTAAGTTGCAGGAGATTCGCAAATCTGGCTGTAATGAGATGTAGTTGAGAGCCTGAATCTAAAAGCGCACGACAAGGAACAAGCTCGCCAAACCGATTCCTTGCCAGAACCACTGCGGTAGCCAGGAGCACAACATCGCTGTGCCGATCCTTGGATAAGAGAGTAGTGGCTGGTGCTGAGGGCTGAGGGATGGTCTGTACTCTTGATGTTGAAGATTGTTGATGGGGCGGAATTGCTGCCTGCGATGTGCTGGAGTGGCCGAGATGAAGAAGCGTATGATGCTTGACTCCACAGACCCGACAACTGCGCGAGCCACATTGTCGCGACTGATGACCTCCCTTGAGACAATTCAAACATAAGCCAGCCTTTCGGACCTCATTCAGGCGAAGACTAGGAGACAAGTTTGCGAATCTTGGGCATTTGTAGATTGTGTGCTCAAGATCATTACAAAAATTGCAACTGTGAGTACTGTGGCCGGTTACGAGAAATGCTGATCTACTGGTAGCAACCTTACTGCAAGAATTCATCGGCTTACTTGACGAATAGTTTGTAAGAGCAAATTTCATCGATTCCAAAGTACGGCAACGAAGCTCAAGAAATGAGGAGACTTCTTCATATCTGGGTATCTGAAGAGCCGTCTCTGAGTTGTCCAATTTCTCTTCCCATTTAGCTTGTGAGGCCTCATCAAGCTTCTGTAGCAGTATCTGAGCAATCATGGCACTGGCTATCTGCTCTGTTGTGCCCAGACTACTGAGCGCACGCATATGGACATTGAAGCTGTCAGATAGCTCACGCAGCTTGATTATGGATCCGTTTTCTACTCTTTTGAGACCTAAGATCTTTACGATGTGGGCCTGGAAGATTAAACGTCGGTTATCATATCTCTGCTTTAATAAATTTACGGCAATTGTATAATTATCATTAGAAATTTCCAAAGAGCGAACCGTATCCAACGCTGCGCCATCGAGGCAGGACCGGAGGTGCTGAAGTCTTTCCATATTGCTGATTTCTGGCCGACTTTCAATGATTGTAGAAAACATTGAGTAGAAATCAGCCCAATTAGCATATCCACCGCTGAACGTAGGTAACTTTAATGGCGGCAACGCAGGTGCAGCCTGCAATCTGGGAGCGGATGCGCGAGGAGGGTCACTTGGACGACTAAACGTGGAACTATGATGCACTTGAGCAGTACGACTTTGCACTTCGGACATTATTGTTGACTGCATGACCATTATTAAATCATCAAAGTCAGTGCGCAAATTGCTGGACATCTCAGTAAAGTCGAGCTCCTCTAGACTTTCATGGGCCTTGCTAAAGGAGTGGCTTAGCTTGTCGATATGCTCCAGTAGAACATTTAGAGTGCTGTCACTGTGATCGGCAAGAGCATCTGAATCGACCTTGGATTGTAGCTTTTTTACGCGTTCAAATACCGACTGTACCTTGAGCTTATAAAACCGCACGCGATCTTCGGGAGCAACTGCACTAGCATCTAAATTCGCCATGACGAGTACAGCAAGAGCAACACGATAGAGTTCAAAGTCGTTGGTGCGAGCGCGATTGCAAGAGTAAGTAAATGTATATATGCTATAGCGCAGACTTGGAATAAGTCGTATTTGTCGAGCAGAGTACTTGCAACTTTAATAAACTGGCAAAGAATTATATTATGGTACTCAAATAATATACACGTATGAATTGTTGCACACCGGTACGATTATTATGGACGCGCTCGTATCGCAGCCGTGGCGAAAAAGTGCAATGTCAACGAAGAATAACGGCAAGCATGTAATTACACTGTGCTTATGCAAACTTAATCACTTATAGATTGAAGCTATAGAACACGCAGTTACTAACCATAGACATAGTTCAGAAATTAGTTGATTCTTTATTAGATTGTCATTTGCAGAAGTTTTCGCAGGTGTACTACTTTTACGGGCGCCAGTGTATTGCAGACCGAACGAAAGAGTGTCTGGCGAATTGGCAAAGTAACGGCACGCAACTAATCGCTATATACACTGCTTATGTTCACGGGTGTATGTATGTATGTGATGCTGTCAATATATATATGCAAATATGTAAAGAAACGAAAAGAGATCACGTCGGGGTCACCAAATGTTGAGCTATCGAGATTTTTCGAATAGCTTTAAATTATTAAACGATTGAATTTACTTAGTGATTAGTTTATTAGCGATTATTAGAGTTTACAGAGTTTATGTGATAGACGCGAGCAAGCGACTAGTCTGTCGTGCTGTCCGCTACTATGTTTGTAATAGTCAATCTAACACTGCATCTGCTCTAAACAAGAGTTAATTGCATACTAACTACAATGTACGCGAGCCGGCGGATTAAGCTGAGCCGGTGCGTGGGTGAAAGAGACAACGCAAAAGGGAGAGCGTGATCTCCGTTACAAATTCTCTTACATGATAACATATTCTATGAACTGCCGCTCTTAATTACAATGAAGCGATGATTGCTGAGCCCAACATAGGGTATGCGCATCAAATATAATTTGGCTGATGGAGCGCCTTAAATGTCCTTGTGCCACATGCTATATATATGTATATAAATATAGAGAACGAGAATATAAAAGCAGGGATGAAGAAAATGAAAGAAAAGATGCCTTATTTTTTGCACAATTTTTATGGGCCTGCTCATCTGTCTCTCCGTCCGCCCGTCCGTCTGTCCGCCTGTCGTCCTCTGTGCTGGGTCTTCTTTTTCATTATCAGGCTGGCAAGGCAGGCTTAATTGCAATGAAAGCGCAGTTTCCTGCTCGCAATTTGCAGTGCGCCATGAAATATGCAACATTATGGGGCAGCAGCCCTTTTGAGGCTGCCACCAGCTACAGCCACAGCCACAGGCCCCAGTCGACCCAGCTCTTAATCACATGAACGACACATCAACTCAATCTGTGTGAGACCAGGTGAATGATTGCAATCGCAAAAGGAGACCCATTTGCTCCTTTCAATGAATTGCAATGCATTCATCATCGTCGTCATCATCATTTTTATTATAATTTCTTTTTATTACGATTATCATTATTATTGATGTGGCACAGCTGTAAGAAAGCAGGCAATATTGCCAACCTATGATTATTATAAATTTTATTATTATCATGCATTATTATGCGAAGTATTATTATTATTTATATTTCGTATTACAACAATCATTGTCATTGTCATTATCATTGTCATTGTCATTGTCAGCATTGCCATCATCAATTTTCTTATTGCTGCTCAAGTAAAAAAACGAAGCTGCCCACTTTCGAGCGTCCTTTCCTTTAACCAATTAGCAACAGTTGCAAAAGTTAAACATGCTCACAAAATCCAATTAGCTGCCAAGTTTAGCAACTTAATGCCGAAGTTAGCTAATTAATTTGCCATCCAGATGCATATAAACATTTAAACATACATATATATGAGATATATATCTATGTGTATAGCTAAAGTGCTCTTTAGATTTAGTTGAATGAATTGCATAAGCAATTTAATGTGAACGCCGTTATTGTCCTTTAGATATTTATTAATAATCTATGCGTCGGGTATATACGTCTTTTGCTAGAGGTGTAACAGGTTGGCAAAAGGAAGCTATGTTAACAGACTTGCAAACCTGCAGAGGAGGTTAAAGGATCCATCGGAACTTAATCAATTAAATCTTTCCTTTAGTAAGCAACTTGGTTTCATTTTGTATTCCAGGATACATCCCAGTCTGAAGAACTCTCACTTGTTTTCAATTGTTAGCAAGCTGTAAGAGGCGTGGCATGTGAGCTTGCGTGCATGTGGGTGCTATTGGGGACACTGCCCATTGATAATAATTGCATCGAGAGTCGCTTTTCGCTGCGCTTTAATTGGAAAAGTTTTTCAATTTTAATTAAAACATTTGGCTTAATGCAAAATGCAGTCCAAATTAAGCACAATGTTCAGCATTCGCACCACAACAAACGATAGCAACAGCAACAACAACTCGAGCAACAACTGGGCCAACAACAACAACAACAACAACTGCAACAACGGCGAAGCTACAGCGAAAGTTTTGCAGGCCAGCAGCAAAACTACCAAAAACTAAACTAAAACTCGAACAAACTCTGCCTCTCGGTCTCTCTCTCTCTCTCTTTCTTTCTTTCTCTCTCTCTCTCTCTCTCTCCCTCTTCTACCATCTTCTTCTCTTTCTAAGACTTCAATAACTTCATTCGCTATTACATTACTCATACGCCTCGTTACACACTTTTTATCACTGGTTTTCATATATCACTCACTCTCTCCTACTTTCATTCTTTGTTTCTCAATATTGTATTTTGCATTTTTAATCTCTCATAATGCGTTATTTTAATTACGACTTCTGTTCCTCTCTGCTCTCTCTCCCCTTCTTTCTCAGTCGTTCACCTTCTTACGACCTCTCTCTTCCTTTTCGTTTGTTCTCTTTGTCTTCTCTTTTCGTCCTTATTTTTCTAACACCCAATTCAGCTAGTCATAAATACGCATACGCCTCGTATTTTTTTACTTATTTTGAAAGTTATTCGGTTTAGCCATGAGGCATTCATAGCAGACTTATACGATTTATACCACATCTCCCCACATACACCGCAATAAAGAAAGACAAATAGTTGTGTGTAATTTGCTTGTATGTCAGAGCGCGATTCGCATATGTCAAATGTCAAGTGTCAAATGCCGAAGCTCTTTGCGGATTTGCTCCTCTTTTTTTTTGTGCTCTTCTATTTTTGCACGCCAGGCAAAAGTTTTTTGCCACCATAAATTACGATTACAATCACAATTTTTGTTGTTCTTTTTATGGTTTCATTGGTTACATTTCCGCTTAGCCAATTGCCATTTGCTATTTCCGTTTCCGCTTTAGGCACTGACTGACAGTTGAGCCGAGTCTAAGCATTTAAGTTCAAGCCAAACATGTGCAAGATTTGCAAAAGATTTCTTGATTAATGATGCCACAGTAATCCCTCCCTCCCTCCCTTCTCGGCGATTCACACTCACATTTCAGATTTTCACTCACTTCAATAATGGAAGCCAAACGCTGTTCACAATGCTCGCGAATTTAGTCACAATTATTAAGCAATTAGCTCACTAATTGGCTTGGCTTTTATAAGCGGGTATCATTAAGTTGGCTCTCTCTCAAATCTTAAATAGTTGGTGGTCGTAGTACTCTAAGAGAGAAAACTTAACAGCGCGTTCAATCAAGCATGATTGAAGGCCAATGAAATCTCCTTTTTATATTTACTCTCTTTTTCATATTAGCTGAGTCTCTAGACATTGAACTGAGTATAAACTTATCCCTTGTAATAGGTCTCAAGTGCCTTAAATTGAATCGGTCAGTCAGCCATTCAATCAATCAATCATTCAATCTGTCGTTTAAACACAGTTAAGCTTTGCACATGTATTGAAATGCATTTCGGCAGATGCCAACCCCATTGTGTTTGTCCAACAATCAAACAGTAATGCAATCAGTCAGTCACTCAATCAGTCAATCAATGTAAGCTGTTGCTCAACATACTGTCAGCCCTCAGCTTCAACAGCAAGTCTCTGCTGCAGACTATCCTGAAATGCAGGTGAAACAAACAACGGATTGAAAGATTGACTGACTGACTGACTGAATGACTGAATGACTGACTTGGCTGTCTGGGCAGTTGGCTGAATTAACACTTGAATCCTGCTCAACTCTGTCTGCAGACACATCGATGCACGCTCCACTGGGCAAAGAAAATATTGTTGCACAGCCACGCCCACAGCCGCCGGCCCCTTTTGCTGTTCAGCTTCGGAAGCAGAAAGTTTGCTCTTTTTTTGCTGTTTCTCTTACTCTGGATTTTAATCACTCAAAATGTAGCCACAGCTAATTAAGTAGTGGTCCGAACTTATATATATATGTACATATATATTTATTTCTATATACATATACATCTTAGCTAATTAAGTGGACTTGTTGGAAATAATTTATTAATTTTGCAACTGGCAAATCGCATTTGGGCTCGGGCACGTCAGCTTTTATTTGCGCAAACCGAAACATATTAAAAATTTACGGCTCGTTTACTGCGATTTGTTCAATTAAGTCGATTCGTTAGGCTCCCCATTTCATTCTCTTTCATTCGCTATCCCTCTCTCTCTCTCTCTGTTTCTCTCTCTCTCTCTCTCTCTCGCTCTCTCTCAGAAGTTGGATTTCCAACTTTGAGGTTTTGGAGCTCTGCCACTTTTAATTTTCTTCAAGTTTATTTGCTCGACTCCGCTGTGATTGCTGCTGCGTCCTTTTGCTGCCTTGCCAACTTCCTCTCTCTCCCCTTCTCTCTCTTCGTCTCTTTCTCTTTTTAATTTTTATTGAATTGGCTGTGCTTAGACTTTGGAGTTGGAAATTAAACGAGCGTGGTTTATGCTTGCTTTTGCTCAAGTGCCACTGATTGTGAGACGGAGTGAAATTTAATCAAGTTTACCCACTCCTCGCCCCTTGTGGCAGCAAAGGGTTGCACGTGCAGCAGCGCCACCAACAGCAGCAGCTGGTTGCCCAAGAG